AATTTGCACCCTTATTGAAAAACCGAAACGTTGTTAAAAATGAAAAATATAACAATTTTGTGGTAATTAATATAAGGCGTTATATTAATTAGCACAAAAATAGTTGCAATATAAAAGGTATTTTTTTTCTTGCAACTATTTTTAAACCTTTGAAAAGATCCAAAATATTGTTAAGGTAATGTTTTTTATATAATTTACATCGGTTATATATATTGCTAAACTAATTACAAAAAAGCTGCCAATCAAAAATGTTCCGGTTTTTCAAATAGGTTAAAAATTTGAATTAAGAATAACTTATTTTCTTAATAACCTTCTATAAAACTTTGTAAACTGTTGTTTTTTATACATTTTTTGTTTTAATGGCTGCAGTCATGGCCATGGCCTATATTAACTGTTACAGTGACACAATCGATCACAAATTTTAATTATACCACACCAACTTAAAATTTAAAATATTTACCATTTTTTGAATGCTAGGACATCTTTAGAGATGAGATGCATGAAACATCAAATATATTTTTTAATTATTGTAAAATATAGGTACATTATATTTTACAATAATTAAAAAATATGATAATTATCACTAAAAAAAGAGGAGACAACGTTGTTGCTTATTCTGTCAAAAATAAAAAAAGTACCTAGGTACCTGTGGGTGGTGTCACGTTACTCTTTAAAAACCCCACCCCCTTCGTGCGTGACAAGATTTATGCACGGCTCTAAACTATAGGTTATATGAAAAGTTATTCACCTAGATTTCTTCTTATACACATATATATATATATATATGTATATTGCAACAACTATGAACGGCATATTATAAAAAAAAACTAGACAAATTATCTTGTCCACACTTAAAAACACAAAAGGAAATCTAAAATAACCTGCAAACGCTATTCTAACAACTGACAGAAGTGTATTAAATGGCGCAAATGGAACCTGATGGCACACCGGATTCCGGTGACCGGAACCCGCTTAAGTGACGATGTCTCCTCTTTTTTATCTCGATGCTATCTACCTGTTAAAAATTCGTGGTGCCATAAGTGTTAAAATATATTAGGTATAACAACATATTTTTACACTTTTGGCACCACGTGTTTTATAATTCACAGGTAAATTTAGGTATATTGTTTTATAGTTAGAAATAAATATATAATACATACCTTGTAGGGCATCTACAACTTCAATAGCATCAATATCACTAAATAAAGTAATAAACTGCTCCATTTTAAATACTCAAAAACTGATTTAATCGCATGCACTTGAAACTAACGATTGAATTAAATTTGCATCCACGCAGCGTGGACCACGCTATGAGAGAAATGAGTGGAAGGGGGGGGGTCGTAGTTAAGAAACAGATATTCTTGATTTAAATATATGTATACTTACCAAAAGAAATGTTTAACTTGAATTAAATTTGATTAAACTATACTTAAAACCACCGAAGGTTTCATTTTACTTTACTACATTTTTGTTGTAAATACGAAATTTCTTATATTTAGAAAGCGAATGCGAATTACAAATATATCAATTTATTAGATCAAATATATGCGTATTTTAAATCCAAACAATTGATTTATGTGTGGGTAGTGTAATATTTACTTAATTTAAGTGTATATTTTTAATTTTAATATACCATTCAAGAAAATACAATTCTAAATTTAATAATATTGATATTTTTAAGTTAATAACAGTTTATTAGAGAGAGCAAATTAACTTCTTAAATATAATCTATGACCATAAGAAAATCATTATTATTAACATAAGAGTATCGGTTTTTCAGTGTAGATTTCGCAGGGCCAATGAATGGGAATTTCTATCTGATAGTAATAGACTCCTATTCGAAATGGCTAAAAGTGAGGCAGGTGACTACAACTTCGACAGCTGCAACAATTCGAGTCCTCAGAGAACTTTTTGCCACGCATGGGTTGCCAGACGTATGTGTCTCCGATAACGGAACAGCATCCACCTCTGCAGAATTCCAGGAGTTTCTTAAAAACAACGGAATTAGACAGGCATTGGTGGCACCATATTATCCAAGTAGTAACGCCCAGGCAGGAAGGATGGTTCAAAATGTCAAGGCCGCTCCGAAAAAAATGAGAAACGGAGATATGATAGTAAAACTGGCCAGATACTTGCTGGTTCAACATATAACTCCACACTCACTTACGGGAAGATCTCCGGCAGAAATTCTCATGGGGCGAAAATTGAGCAAGGCTTTGGATAGAGTTTTCCCTGATTTCGAGAAAGAAATGACAAAGAAACAAGAAATCGCAATACCACAAAATATGACCAGAGTTTTCTAAGAAGGAGATCATGTCTTCGCAAAGGCATAAAGGAAAAAACTGGACACCTGCAGTAGTAGTGGAAGCAACAGGACCGGTTGGTGATTTATGTGAATTTAGTCATTATGGATATTACGGTTGGAAATTGACTTTCTTTTGAACTTTCCATTTAGTCGTCTTTCTTTCGATAAAATGTTTGTTAAGGAATTTGGTGTGTCTCGTCCAGATTTAAGTAATCTATTAATCAATCCTGGTAAACCTAGTCGTGCTTTTGTTAATACTTGGTATGAAAAGTGTTCGTGGTTAACGGGATATCCTTTGCGTATAAAATTGTGTGAATTTGTAAAATTTCATTTAATTTATATTATTATTTATTTATATATTTATTTTTTTTAAAAAGAGCACTTTAAGAGCACTTTATTTTGTTGGTTATTTATAACAGTAATATTTATTTTATTGGTTATTTATTTTTTGATTGTTTCGCACTGTGTCCATTTTTATAAGGAGAATTTAGTTTTAGTTTTTAGTTATACGCAACTCATTTATCCCTTTTTTCTCTCCAGTTCCCCTTACTTCCCTTCAGTTCCGCTTCCCAGTTTCCCTTTTTCCCGGCAGGATGGTGTATTATTATTAATTTAATGATTAGGGCTTAAACCTAATGGTTATATTATTAATGCTGCACTTTACCTTCACGTGGTTCTTGCTGAACAATGAAATATTAATTAGACAAAAATGAAGTTTATTTAAATTAAACGTCATTTTTACAATAAAATATATTTCATTGACAAAGTAGAGGATTCCTTCCCCACCACAGTCTAAGTTTTTTACTTAGTTTTAAGTATAGGTTGTGAACTGCGACGTCAGTTTTTTTAAGTTGGGTTTAAAAAAATTTCTTCGCCTTTAAATGAGGGCGAAACCCTGCCTCTGCCTCACCAAAATGAAATGGGGCCGCCACTGACGTTAATATAATTAACATAAACATTAACTGTGTACATTAATTCAATGATTGTTTTATCGTTAGTACATTGATTCAATGAATGCGTTTGTTAATATAAAGTATGCGTTTCATTAATCGATGCATTACATATACATTAATACCGTGATTTTTATAATTAGGACCAAGTACATTATTTCAATGAATGTAATGTATACTTTTAATCAAGCATTTTATTTGTTCGTTGCGGAAATTAATCGCAAAACATTAACACAATGGAAAATTATCATTTAATACTTTATTACATTATCATAACGAAACAATTTAGTAAAAGTTGTTCATTTTCTAAGCAACGATGCGATTACGAAATGTGACTTTTACATAGTGGTCGTAGAAAAAATTATTAGCGATTTTTTTAAAATTAATTAATATCTATCGAATTTTAAACGATTTGCGGAAAAATTGTATGTTTACCACGTAGGAAAAGCCACATTCCTGGTCTCTGTTACTAAATCTCGGCTTGCGCCTCGCACAGTCGTCCAGGAAACGAAATTAATCAACAAATTCATGTATTTAATGAAATTGTTTACTGGACTGATAAAAAATTTGTTAGCAAAATAAATGTTATAAATTAACTAATGTAAAATTAATTACCAATACAATAATTACTAGTTCATCATGATGATAAACCACGTGATTAGTTAATAAAATACCGTACATAACATTTCTTTACATTCATGAAAAAATCGTTGTCCCAATAAAACATTAGTCAATAAACTAAATTAATTGATTTTATGGACTAAACTTTTTTCAGTGTAGAATGTTCTGTTTTAAATCGCATTTCAAATTCAAATCACACGGGCCTTCAAATAAATACTTTTTGGATTTTCACCCTACTGTTCTAACGCTTTTTAAAGTCGCTGCTGCAACACATTCTTTTTTCCAGTTGTTTCGCATTCCCCTTCTTCCAGCTCCCGCTTAAGATCCGCCATCTTTAAGTCCATTAACGAAACCATTTTCGCAAAGTTTAACAGGTTAGTGTTAATTTAACACTAACCCCACTCGTGACACCAATTGTAACGTTTTTGTTGGTTCGACAGTGTGTTTATTAACAAATTAAAAGATTTATTTTTATAATTTAATTACAATAAAAACACTATTTTCTACTACTTACTAATCACTTAACTATTAATTATAATTAAATAATTATTTATGTATCACTATTGTACCTACAAAAATCTATTTATTTATCCGTATTTGTAATTTATTTCGTCGCGAGTACCAAAGCTTAACTAACTGCTCGACCCTCCGCTAAGCCTTGTGGCCTACTTCACGCAAGCACCTTTCCCCGAACACTTTCAATACGTTCCACAGTTCGATCGTTCGGAAATTCCCCGCCATAAACAAGCAATGACTCATCGCAACGGTACTCGCAACAATATTTTCGAATTAAAAGCGAAACAGTACATTTTAGCACATTATTATTAAATAATTATTAATCATACCACGAGTTAAATGTCAACAAATGTCAAATCAAGAAAAGCATCAAAATCCTTAGTACCTTGTAAACAAGGTGATAAAAAAAACTATGGAATACTGGCATTTCATTTGTTCCAATATTAATAATTTGTATTGTTGTCATAGTAATTATAAATGCTACCGTGGAGAAAGAGGTAAATTTTATACATAGGAAAAATACTTTTTTTATTTGTATATTAGACTAGACTAATTAAAAAAAGAACCTTTAATTTATATTTTTTTTTAAACAAAAAAAAGTAGCGAAATTCTTATGAGCAATTTTTATTAAAAAATATACATGTAGCATTTGTCAATACATAAAATATAAGTTATTAACTCTAACAATGATTTGGCTGAAAAAAATTAATATTTGTTGGTCCAACAATTTTTTGTCAGATATTAAAAAAATGTTAACGCAACAAATCTGCATACAACCATAAGTCACAAAAAAAAATAACTCCCGTCATATAAAAAACAACAATAATTATCACATCTTAATTAAATTAAAAAATACAGTCTTTTAACGACTCAACGTCTCATATTGTCCAAAACCCAGTCCATATAGTAGGAAACCTTGGTGTAAACACCAGGAAAACCATCGGCCCCGCAGTTCTTAGGCCCGAAGGAAACAATCCCTTGCTGGGTGTATTTAGTCTCCCCTGTATCCTCATTGGGAACAACGGCGTGGAGGGGCCCCCCGCTGTCCCCCGCGCAGGAGTCCTGATTACCAGTCCCTCCCGCGCACAAATGTTTATAGGTTATAGGTGATTTGAAGTTGCGATTTTTGTAGTTTCTACTGCACTCCCCCCATGATATAAGCGGAAGATGCGCTTGTAGGAGATCGGAACTTCGCGTGCTTGTTTCTGTGGCCCCCCAACCAGTCACCACACCTTTATTATTACCGAATTGGTAGAGCCTTCCCGGGCCAACAGGCAGACACACTGGCTTTATGTTTTCTATAAAAAAGAGAAAAGTGGATTTAATTGTACAAAAATCACATAATTGGTCTGGATATCGAGAGGACCAGCTACGAGCCCACAACAGAAGATTATATTTTGCTATGTTAAATAAAAGATAAAGTTTAAAAAAATATATAAGATCTTATTACCCTTATTTAAGTTCATGGTTCCATCTACTCTTATGAGTCCGATATCATTATTAAAATTAGCATTGGGGTTATATTGTTCATGGGGGACTGCTTTTTCAATTCTAAAATCTTGATAAGGTGGAGCACAAACTGTTATGCCTTTGGTCGTCTCACAATCTTTTGGAGAATCTATGTCATGATCGCCAACTCTTACTCCCAAACTGTAAAAAATAAAACAAAAGAAAAAAAATCATCAAAAAAGAAAAAAAATGTTGCCGCTCTATTTTATATTTTGCTTCAACTTTTTGGGAAAGTTCTTTGATGATATCATTTAAATGACTCGTAGACAACTTACAGTGATCGCCTTCTTGGTTTGAGAATAAGGTCGCTGATGCAATGGGCGGCTGTCAAAATGTACTTTTCATTTAATATGGTGCCCCCGCATCCAAATTGAGCACCACTGGCGGTTTGATAAGATATAAGGGCCATCCAGGGAAATTCAAAGAGTCCAGTTTTGTTACCCTTTACAATTCTGTTACTGGAGTCCAAATACCCGCAATTTTGTGGTAATAAATTGAAGTTTTTGTGTCGGCTTACGTCGGGGGGTAGAGGGTCACCTTTTCCACCCTGGAGGGTTGAACTTGGACAGCAAACCTAAAAAATGTTTAGTTTAGTTTTAAGGTAGGTACCCAGACAGCATCCAATTCTGAAAGATTTCTGTACGAAGTCTGTTAAAAGCATCTTACCGAGGTCACAATATGAAATCATTTATAGTAGCTCGAGATAAAAAACTCCTGATAAATTCATAAATGAAAAGTTAATTTTTTAACATCTTAAAGTATATTTTTTTCTTACCTCTTATTGGAATCAAAATTAGAAGCTACTAAGGGTATCATAAATAAGACTTCAGTTATATGATATCTTACAGTATTCTCTTTTCTTAGAAGCTACTAAGGGTATCATAAATGAGACTTCAGTTATATGATATCTTACAGTATTCTCTTTTCTTATATTATAAGAAGTAGGTATACTTTTTACTGAAATCATATTATTAACTCTTTAAGAAGTCAAAATGGAGACGTCACATTTATGATATTTTAATGCGATTACTTTCTTCTCACCGTTGTAACTGCCTGTGTTTGATTTAAGAAGCGACGAAGTAGAATTTAGAGCGTGCTCAATACCAAACGGTCTTAGACCTAGGTAAACGATTACCCGATACTGAAGAGCTACAAAAAAAAACGAAACAGGCCGTCTATTGGTGCCGGTAAAGGGCTTGCTTGAATTTAAACAAAAGTGAGACGAAGTAATCGCAATTCCAAAATAAGCGAATAGAAGCAAATTATTTAAATGATTTTAATAAAATCAATTTAACAAATTCGTTTGTTCTATGGTAATTAAATTGGACATATGAAAATAAGCAACGATCCAGTAAGTAATTTTTTCATCAGTACCCTAGTAGTAGTTCTATATCCAAAACAGGAAATTCTAAAAAAGTCTTTTTATGCTTTAGGACTCTTTAAAATGCTTAATTGCGAAGTCAAAGAAAGGGTTCCTCAAGAGTTTTTTTTTAGAAGTCTTGATTAGTTTGATAGGTGGCGCATTCGAAGTCTTAAGAACATCTTAAAAACTTTTTTCTGATGTTGTATGATACAACTTGTATCTGACGTCCAAATCATAAAATAGAGCTTATGCAGAATTAATGAAGACGTCATATTGCTGTCTGGGTATTATTTTCTCCAACTTTCTTAAAATTCTTCAAAATGCTCTAGTTTTTCAGGCTAGGATTTTTACCTTGACATCTAATCCAGAAAACCCACATCTGTATTCCTTTAGTTTTTGTTGTATCTCATAAGGAACTCCACCATTAAAGCTTTGTATCAAATCTAACATAGGTCTACATTGTTTAATTGGTATACATTCATCCGACCCACTGCATTTACTGTTGTCATCTTCATATGCCCATTCTAAAAAAAAATAGTTTTAAATTATCTCTTAAGCATGATTTTTTTTATTTGAAAATATGCATGACTTATAATATGATTTCTTAAAGTTATTTTTATGGTACCTATTACCTATTTGAGTTAACAATCCATTTGGTGAGACTTAATTAAGTAAATCTCCTAAAGTTCATATTGAAAATAAGCCTTTCTAAGAAGCATGTGTGATAGGTACTATTAAATATGTATTTACAAACACAGAACTTTAAAACGTTTTTATCTTCTTCAGTACAATTTTTTATTTTGATTTGATGCCCTCAATATGTATACATAAAAACCATTTTTGTAATTAGGAATTTCGGGTAAAAAAACATGACTGCTTAATATAATTATCTACTATATTTACTATAAATAACAATTATTCCAGACATATTTTTTTAGATATATGTATGTAGCTTGTGAACTCTATAGAAGTATACAAACAAATTTATTTTATAGCAAGGACATAAAAACAATTAGGTAATGATTTATAGATAAAATAATAAAATAAAAAAAACATATGTAGGTACATATATTAATGGTATATATTTTGTTTTGTTTATCAATTAAATTGTATACATTTTCTAAAGACATAAAAGTGAAAATATGGCAAATTTCTCCTATAAACTTATTTTAGTAAAATAACTTACGAGGTTTCACAGAACTGATCACAAAGCAAGCGACGAAAACGACAGCACTCCTGACATTTATTTGTTTCATCTGGACAAGTGTACGTAGCATCAAGTTGCTAAGGTAAACATAAACAACTAACTAAACTAAACAAAATGTGTTTTATTTTACTCGACCGTGTACGTCATTCGTGGGTATCTTTAATAAGGTAGGCAGGTATTGGTTGCTTATTTTATTATTTTACCTAAATGAAAACAAGTCTGCAGATCCCCCCACTTCGAAGTAAAAACGATCGAGTTACAATGTGAAGAAATTTCGGCAAAAAGTTAAAAAAAGGATATGTTAAAAATTTAATGTGCGCATTTGTCATTGTTAATACTTTATATTCAAAAATGGGGCAAATTTGCCATTTAAAGGACTGTAAGAAATTTATAACAAAATTTAACATTTTTAACTAAGTTTTAAATATTTTGAAGAAAATAATTTAGGTTTAGGAATGTGAATAAATGGAATTAATAAAAACGATATTAAACAAAATTTTTATTAAAAAATTCCAAATTTTGTTTTAATTATAGGTACAAAAAAGATTTTGAATTAATGAATTTTAAGACAAGATGGAGATATACATATACAAATATTTTAACAACTAGAAAAAAACATACTAAATTTGTTTTGTATAGATTTGGTTTTGTTTTTAATTACAAAAATGATTAAAAATCACAAAAAATCTAAAATAATAATTATTTTTTAAAAGCGTGTTTTTTGAAATTTTTCACAAAAGAAAAGTGTTATGCAACAGGGAACCAACCACTTTTGCGAAACTGAGATAATAGCGTCAGAAATTTTTTTTCTTTTTGTTAATTCTAGATTTAACGTTTTAATTTAAATTACATTAATACATTTATGTCATTTTTTAAAATTTAGGGTTGGTTCTAGGGTTGCCAGAAATCAAAATGACGAAAATAGAAGAATTAACTAGAAAATAAGTATCAAAAATGTATAGAATATTTAAACAAATCATTTAATGCATAAAAGATAAAAGGTTTTCGTTAAATATAGAAGGCCTGGCAACCCTAAGATTCCCTCTTGCATTTAATTAAAGTTTAGGAAATGTAAAAAAATTAGATTTATTAGTAAAAACGATATTTGTTATAAACTTTATAAACTATATAAAAAAGATGGTGTAATAATGAATTTGAAGATAATATTGAAGAATATTTTACCAGATCTGCCCTACTATGGAGAAAGGCAGTAACTGCTAAACAAGAAATTTGTGGAAAATTAGCATAAACTACATTTTTATAAAAAGCAGTAGGTATTTAATTGATTTTTTTAACTTATGAGATATTTGACTGCATTTCTGTGTTGAATTCGGTTACAAAATATCCATAGCTTTACCATAGCCAGGGCCGGCCCGAGGTACGGGCGAACCGGGCAACCGCCCAGGGCGGCATAATGGGGGGGCGGCATTTTTACGATTTGTTAATGATAATCAATTTTATTCAACATACTAAACATTTTTCGATTGGCGATTTTTTCAAGAATTACGCTCGAGAAATGCAGTTTAGATAATTTAATATCTTTGTTACAAAGATTTAATAGAGGCGCTCTGGGAAGACGACCCTGGCGCCCTCTTTTATTCGTTTCTTCAATCACATCATGTAGTTTTCTATAATTTTGTTTGACAATTAACAATTAATAATTGACAAATATTATATCACGTGCATTTGCACTGATTTTAAAATCAGTGCATTGCTAAGGTAATTTGATAATTAGAAGTATAAAATGTCTGGAAAATGCAAAAAAGATTCAGGAACTTTTTATAAAAACAAAAGAAGGGCGCGTGCGGCGGAAAATCGAGTAGGGGAGCGGGGGGGAATGGGAGCCAGTGGGTAATGGGAGCCACCTTATTATTACATGTTGGAACGCCATATTACAACTTCTGAACGCTTCCAACGCTTGACCTTGAGCTCTGCTGGCACCCTTACATTATGTTAATTTAATTCAGTTCGTTTTTATTTGTTGACGGGAGTGCTGCGAATTTCTTTTACGCTTCTAGAGTGACACGTGCAAATTAGTAGCGTGGTAAGTAATACTGCTTTTTGTCTATTCCAAATTATTTTATCAGCTTAGCTTCGTAAAAGTATGTAGTTTTATTAAATCATATCTGATTTTCTGTTAATTTTTTTATTTTTTATTTTAATCATTTTAAAGAAAAAATCTACCTTTGGGGTAATTGGAGCCATTGGCTCCCATTACCCTATCTATTTGTTATTTATAAATAGATTTCTTTTAGATGCCCAGAACATGGAAAAGGAAGACCGAAAAGGGTTCATGGACACCAGAAGACCTTCAAAGGGCTGCTCAGTTGGTGGCTAATGAAGGATATGTTTGTGATTTTTGTTTAGACAGGAAGAACTAGGGTGGAACCTCGGGTTAAACATATTTGTACAATTTTTTTTTAATAAATACAAATAATTACTACTATTGTTTATCCTTTCTTTAGTTTTAGTTTGTCCCTATTCCTTCCCAAGCCAGTATTCTTACTTCAACTATTAAAACAACGTTGGCTCCAATTACCCGCGTGATTGGGTAATGGGAGCCAAATGCATTTTTTTCGTTTTTTTTATAAATTCCATTATAGTCAATTTTTTTAAATTTTGTTTACATATAAATGAACTATACATGTGAACCTTTATATTTAGTTATTTAAATTTAAAAAAAGGCTAATATTAACATGTTTGGAATTATATTTCCTTAGGTGGCTCCAATTCCCCCCCGCTCCCCTACTAGCAGCAACCTTTTTCAAATTCTTGCAAAAAGAACCATCGTAGGCAGGTATACTAATTATACTATAATTAAACAATATTGCACATATGAAAATGAAGTTTAATTTTTATTGTGTACATCTAAACATTGTTTTTAGAGGTCTAAAATCAATCTTCTGACGTGCATCACAGCAGGATTCGGTTTTGCCAAAGTCCGCTAAACTCATTACGTAATTATTAAGTTAATTTCCTTTTTTTTTAAAGATGATTCACCTGAAGTAAGTAAGTTACTTAAAATATTCGGGTGCACAAAAATACGATATTTTAACAGCAATTACTATGTATAACAGCAATTACTATGTATAATATAATATAATTTTAACAGCAATTACTATGTATTACTATGTATGTAATAATCTATAGCTATAGCTCGCGGAATATTGCGAAAGTAAATTTTAACAAACCAAAGAATTCTTGTAATATAAAAATATTGTTTAATTAGACTCACTATTATAGTGACACTATTTAATAATATATTTATATTATATCCTATATATGGGATATAATCATTGACAAGTGATGCAATTATGTATATATACATATTTAACAGTATATTGCCTTACCTAGTAATTCTAAAGCATAAAAAACTCTTATAAATAGTTTGAAAAAATAATTACGTTAAACTACTTTTTTTCCTATTCCTGCTGAATAAAAAGGGGGCGGCAAAAATATCTTCGCCCGGGGCGGCAAAAAAAGTCGGGCCGGCCCTGACCATAGCACAAGAAAACGCATTTCTCCATAGTAGGGCAGATATAGCAAAAAAAACCCTGTTTTGTATAAATTTATTTTTGCTTTTAATTACAAAAACTATTGAATATTACAAAACTTATAAAATAGTCTAGAATACCCTGACAAAAAATTCAAAAATATCGAATCTAAAACGTGTTTAAGACCGTTTTAGGACATTTTAAGACATACCTAATTTGTTGGATATATGTCGTTTTGAAGACATTTAATTTAAAAACATTTTTAACATTTTTGTGTTGAAAATGATAAAGTTCTAAGATTACCATTTTATGTGTGAAAAAACAATTAACAACTTTAAGACGTTTATTTCATAAAAATAAATACTTAATAATGTTAAATAACATGTATTTAACTAAAAAATAATTACTGAATAATATACGTAATTTGGTATCTTTTCAAAAAATTATAACTAATAAGTTTAACCCAGAAAGTAAGATAATAAACCGATAAATATCTAAAGAGATTAAAAAAGATATTGTTTAAACAAAAGTGTTTCTTACCCAAATCAACAAAAGAAGAAAAAAGCACAAAATAAGCTAAAATGGTAAAGCACTTAATAAAAAACATGTTCATCACAAACAACAAAATACTTTGAACAATATAATATGGATGTCTATACAACAGGTATGTATTTTAAATAAATAAATATATACATATATATACATGTATATATATATTATATATATATATACATGTATATATATATATATATATATATATGATTTTTGCACATTAATAATTAATACACGTAATCAGGTTTATGAAAATTTAAATAAATAACTCTATACCTAGCATTAATTATTTATTAAATTATTATAATTATAATTTATAACCAAGTTTTTTAAAATCTTAAATGTCTTATTTATATTTGTAGGTAGGAATATTTTATGAACGAAAAATAATTAAATCCTGTATTGTATTAAGTTACAATATTATTAACATTCATCACACATTTAACGGTAGTTTACCTTTCCTTAACCAAAAAATGTAGGTGATTACCCAAACTTTATGAATCACATTAAATATGTATTGTAAAAATTGCAAAAATAATGTTTTCAAGTAGGTAGATAAGTAATAAAAATATTAAAATTAAAAAATAGTTTAAAATTTGAAAAAAATGCGATAATCCATGGATGCAAGACAACATATAAAAAAATAAATGAAATTCAAATTATTGAAACTCCAAAAGAAAGAGTGGCGAATAGCTTCATTCTATTTTTATACTTAATATAATTTCATGAATTGATACTTTAAATCTTTTATTCTATGTCCTAAATTCATATTTATATTTGGATGATCTTGCAAGATCATGATCTACCTAACTGGCAATGTAAAATATTTGTGACAATTAATGTTGCATATTTTATATTCGCAAAATAATAATAAATGTGTCCCTTCTGTCCCTTCTTACTTTTGTCAAAAAAAATTATAAATAAATAATTTTATAGTGCAAATTATATTTTTTTTCAGTGAGATATTAAAAATCTTTGTTGTTTGAAAGCATGTATGTCAATTTTATATTCAGCCTTTCCTGTCCCCTGGCAAAATTTATTTTTATGTTGAAAGTTTTGTTGTTTATAAATAGTAAATTTATACAGTCTAAAAAAAGTTTTAATCTCACTGAAAAGAAATACAATTTGTACCATAAATTTATTAGTTGATAATTTTTTTGACAAAAGTAACAAG